TACTTCTACACGTGTTCCCTCCCCTTCAGTTTTGATTGCTCTTATTAAATAGCTCAGGAGCCCTGGTAGAACAGTGGTTAAAGTGCTTGTCTACTACCCCAAAGGTTGGCAGTTCAAATACACCAGCAGTTCTTCAGGAGAAAGCTGTGGTAGTCAGCATCTGTATAGATTTATAGCTTTGGAATCCCCCTGAAGCAGTTCTACTCTGTCCTACAGAACCGAAAAGAGTCAGAATCAACTAGGGAACATTGAGTTTTCTGTTTATTACATAGCTCTTTCCTTACATAGGGATGGTGTGAGGGGTGTAAGCTGTCTTCAAAAGTAAAGCAAAAATGACTTTAATCAAAATTACTATTGAAAAGCCCTTACATTTCACAGAAGGTACAACTCTGTACAGTAATCAAAGACTCCACAAAACTATTCATAGGTCATTTAGGATGAGGCTGTTCAGAAAAAAGACATCAGCAGATGGAATCCCTTGCCTTTTCTCCCCAGGCCCCCCAAAAGCATTCAAGAAAGGTGACTTGCATGGCCAAATTACTAAACATATATACTCCAAGAGAGATGCCCACAGCCCTAAAAAAACTTTGGATCTGAGATGTCTGGTAGGAAAGTGTTCTTTCCATCTACTTAGGGGATCTTACCTTCATGCGGGAGGTTCAAAAAGCTCATGGAAAGAGTGGAATAAAAAGATAACGGACTGTTTTCATGCGCTTTTTTGAAGGCACCACATGTATTGAAAATTTTAAGACAAAAAGAATAACTAAAACTAGATATTACTTGTTCACTTTTGCTAAAATGTTGGCATAAAACAAATATTTAATTTAAAAGTCGGTAACTCACATGCTAATAATGGCAATAAAACTTACTCATTAGGGAGTGCTTCCTACATGCTGGGCACCTTGCTTTAGGATTGATACCTATTAGTCCCTGAACTCTAAGTACAAACCCTTATTCCCACGTCACAGCGGGGGGGATGGGGCTTCGTGAAATATAGATAGGATGTGCTCTGCACTGGGCCACAGGAGAGGAGCAGCCGAGCTGGGACTGGAACCCAGGCTCGCCTCCAAAGGCTGTGCCGTGCCCTTCCCAACACTATAAATACGCACCCATCACCCCCTTTTTCTTAACTGCAATACTTTAACGTGGAAGACCTGAGTTTTAATTAATAGTAGCAAGCATTCAGGAAACAAGAGCAAATGGCCTTTAGAAACAGAGTAGCACGCCATTCGTGGGGTGAGCCACTAGAGACTGGACAGATTTCCGTTAGAAAGAAATTTCTGCTTTTCATCTCTTGCCACTCAACACCAGCTTAATGGCAGCCGCTAGAGAAAGACCACTCTATTCGCTCAGGAAAAGTCAAAAGTTCCAATCGTGTTCAGCAAATGAACTGGCAGGACAGCAAACCCGCTTCTGCCAACACAGAGACCCACAGTCGAGCGAGCATGCTGTGACTACAATAAGCAGCCTGTATGATTTCATTCAGTTCACGGACCCCATACTGTACTGAGCCCCTCTTCACAGAATTAGTGCTAGTTTAGGAAAGCACAAAATTACTACACTTCCATTTTTTAAAAACCCCAAATAGATCAGTAGCTTGTCAAAACCAAACACTAAGAAACCATTCTTAAGCAAAAAGCAGCTATTATTTCCTAATGGGGCTCTTCTAAACTCACTTCAATCCCACGGATCAGTCTTAGAAAATTCAAAGAAAATCCTGACATAACTGATTACACTTCAAGTTCATGACAGCAGCATTATCTTTCCTAACCAGATCTTTTCTTACATTAAAAAAAAAAAAGCCAGTGTTACAGCTCTTTTAGACTTTGTCTAGCAGGTTTTCTGTTTTTTTTCTGGAACACCCCCCCCCCCAAATCAATATTTTAGAGTCACTTATGACACTGGAGTTTCATAAATCATCAGATAGGAAAAAATACAGTTAAGTCAAAACAAAAAGTAGAAAACTCATACGAAGAAGCTGTGCCATGTGCACTCCCATATTTCTAGTCTGCCCTAACCAAACCAAACCAAACCAAACCAAACCAAACCAAACCAAACCAAACCACTCACTGCCCTCCAGTCAGCTGATTCCATTCAGACTCAAGCGACCTTCTAGGACTCAAGTGACCTTATAGAGTGGAATTGCCCCATGTGGTTGGTTTTCAAGGCTTTAAAATCTTTCTGTCCCCTTCAAAGTGGCTGGTGGGTCTGAACCTTTTTGGTCAGCAACGGAATGTTTTCACCATTGTCCCACCAGGACCCTCTAACTAGAACCAACACTCATGAAGTCACACTATCAGATTAGGTGCTGTGAAGGGTAAAAAGATAGGGGTAATAAAAGGGGGCTTCAAAAAACTTGTTGACAAATGGAATGAAAAGATAATGGAATCTTTCCATGAACTTTCTGAAGACCCCTTATAAGTACGGCTCGTAAGTTTAAAATAATTCATCATCTAATGAGACAGATTAGACATATCCATAAAGACCCTCCCACATACAATGCTTTTCTTCATCATTCTAGTATGACCAAACAGGTGTTGAAAAAGTTAGAGAAAAACATCACCAAGTCCCAAAAGTGTATCCAACAAACATGTCTTACTTATGGTGCCAAATATCAAAGCACATCCTTTACTTTTTCCTCTGCTCATTAAGGCTCTGGTAATCCACGTGATTCCCATGCTTTCTTTAGTCTCTAACCTTAGTTTATTTTCTGTTCTCTGCTCATGTAACAAGGTATATCTTCCTGGGATTTCCTGTTCTGCATTTAGTTTTTTCTGCTGCTATTGCTGAAGGCCCCCTGCTTTATTCTCTTATCACTGTACACTTTCTATGTTTGCTGTGGAGACGCCCCTCTTCTCACAAGACACACACACACACACACACACACACACATAAGATGTGGGAACACTCACAGGGTAGATCTGTGAGCACCGCAGGTGGCTCTGAAACCTTCCAAACTTAATTATTAAAAATAATTACCTTCAGGAAGTCTAATCAGGAAGGTAAAAGACAACAGCCACTTCAATCACCCTCTGTGGTCCCAAGGCCTTGAGATTAGCTTTGGCTAGAGATTATATAGTGATCAGGACTGCTGATGGAAAGTACAGAAAAAAGCAAAACCAACTCACTAAAATACGGTGGATTTTAATATATAAAAATGCTATCCATAGGGCAGGAGCCCTGGTGGCACCAATGTTTAATCACACAGCTATCTGAAAGATCATTGCAATCTACCAGCTACAACAGGTAATAGTATCCATAGGTGCTTACTGGACATTTAATGGCATTAACATTGGACTCAAAGCATCAGTACTAAGCTGCTGCTGACCTGAGGCCAAGCTAACAGAGCCTTTATTATAACACACTACAGAGACCCGTGAATACCTGGAGTCGACCTGCCCCTAGGTACCCTTAAGGCTGAGATTTTAAAATGGCTCTTACTCTTTTGCCCCCTAAATTGTATTAAATGATTTGGGTCACGTAAAGCCAATTTACTATGTCATAAAGGTGTTACTTTCCCTGGGAGCAGGGTGGAGGGAGCGCCCCAACCACGAAAAAAGGGGGTAAGAGTAACCAAAGGGCTCCCCAAACCCTCGGCTGTTTCCTTCTATTCCGACTCAGAGGGACCTTCCAGGACAGAGCAGAACTGACCCACTGGCGTTCCCGAGTCTATACATCTTGAAGGAAGCGGGCAACCTCCGCTTTCTCCAGCTGCTGGCTGATGGGGCCCAACCGTCCACCTTCCAGTTCGGTTGGCAGCCCAGCACCTGAACCACTGCGCTACCAGGGTGGCCTTCCAAAGGCCACGGGACCAGATTAATCATAAACCCAAACGACTGACGCTGAATTTTCTTCAAACACTTCCTGCCTTTTGTTTCAACAGAACTATCCCTTCACGGTTAACTGCAGTCGCCCTGCGGATCACACCAGCCCACCACCCACCACGAGACACACTCGTGGCTGGAACCCCCCCGTCGTCGGAGGCGGCTTCGGCAGGCTGCGGTTTCCAAGCACGCGGCTACTGCCCGCCCGGCACCCCTACCCGCCCAATTCCGCAGATCCCCAACACACCCACCTCCCGGTGGGATATATGGGGACGGCTTGTTTTCAAGTTCCCTGGGAAGAAAACCGGGTGGAGGGCGAAAGCGGACACAACTCCAGGCTCAAAACCCTTCTGAAGCCGGGTTCTCCCTCAAGGAGTGAAAA